GTTACACAACTGGTCGGGCTCCGGTTAAATAATTGGTCGGGCTCCAGTGGTGTCACTTGGGTTTTGGGTTGTGCATGGTCGGGCTTCGGTTCATGCATGGTTGTGCTTCGGATGTTTTTTGTTCGGTTCGTTCATGCTAGACTTGTGGTTACACAACTGATCGGGGGTCCGGTTACACAACTGGTTGGGCTCCGGTTACACAACTGGTCGGGCTCCGGTTACATAACTGGTCGGGCTCCGGGGGTGTCACTTGGGCTTTGGGTTGTGCATGGTCGGACTTCTGTTCGTGCATTGTTGTGCTTCAGATGTTTTTTGTTTGGTTCGTTCATGGTAGGCTTGTGGTTACACAACTGGTCAAGGTCTGGTTACACAACTGGTCGGGCTTCGGTTACACAACTGGTCGGGCTCCGGTTAAATAACTGGTCGGGCTCCAGGGGGGGTCACTTGGGCTTCGGGTTGTGCATGGTCAGGCTTTGGTTCGTGCATGGTTGTGCTTCAGATGTTGTTTGTTCGGTTTGTTCATGCTAGGCTTCCAGTTACACAACTGGCCGGGGTCCGGTTAAAAACTGGCCAGGTTCCGGGGTTGTCACTTAGGGTTTGGGTTGTACATGGGTCGGGCTTTGGTTTATGCATGGTTGTGATTCAGAGGTTGTTGGATTGGTTTATTCATGCTAGGCTTGCGGTTACACAACTGGTCGGGGTCCAGTTACACAACTGGTCGGGTTCTGGTTAAATAACTGGTCGGGTTCCAGGGGTGTCACTTAAGCTTTGGGTTGTGCATGGTCGGGCTAGCTTCGGTTCGTGCATGGTTGTGCTTCAGATGTTTTTGTTCAGTTTCGTTCATGCTAGGCTTGCGGTTACACAACTGGTCGGGGTCCGGTTACACAACTGGTCGGGCTTCGGTTACACAACTGGTCGGGCTCCGGTTACATAACTGGTCGGGCTCCGGGGGTGTCACTTGGGCCTCGAGTTGTGCATGATCGGGCTTCTGTTCAAGCATGGTTGCGCTTCAGATGTTGTTTGTTGGTAATTGTTTGTTTGGTCTATTCATGCGAGGCTTGCGGTTACACAACTGGTCGAGGTCTGGTTACACAACTGGTCGGGCTTCGGTTACACAACTGGTCGGGCTCCGGTTACATAACTGGTCGGGCTCCGGGGGTGTCACTTGGGCCTCGAGTTGTGCATGATCGGGCTTCTGTTCAAGCATGGTTGTGCTTCAGATGTTGTTTGTTTTGAATTGTTTGTTTGGTCTATTCATGCTAGACTTGTGGTTACACAACTGATCGGGGGTCCGGTTACACAACTGGTCAGGCTCCGGTTACATAACTGGTCGGGCTCCGGGGTGTCACTTGGGCTTTGGGTTGAGCGTGGCCGGACTTCTGTTCGTGCATTGTTGTGCTTCAGATGTTTTTTGTTTGGTTCGTTCATGGTAGGCTTGTGGTTACACAACTGGTCAAGGTCTGGTTACACAACTGGTCGGGCTTCGGTTACACAACTGGTCGGGCTCCGGTTAAATAACTGGTCGGGCTCCGGGGGTGTCACTTGGGCTTCGGGTTGTGCATGGTCAGGCTTTGGTTCGTGCATGGTTGTGCTTCAGATGTTGTTTGTTCGGTTTGTTCATGCTAGGCTTCCAGTTACACAACTGGCCGGGGTCCGGTTAAAAACTGGTCAGGTTCCGGGGTTGTCACTTAGGGTTTGGGTTGTACATGGGTCGGGCTTTGGTTTATGCATGGTTGTGATTCAGAGGTTGTTGGATTGGTTTATTCATGCTAGGCTTGCGGTTACACAACTGGTCGGGGTCCAGTTACACAACTGGTTGGGTTCTGGTTAAATAACTGGTCGGGCTCCAGGGGTGTCACTTAAGCTTTGGGTTGTGCATGGTCGGGCTAGCTTCGTGCATGGTTGTGCTTCAGATGTTTTTGTTCAGTTTCGTTCATGCTAGGCTTGCGGTTACACAACTGGTCAGTGTCCGGTTACACAACTGGTCGGGCTTCGGTTACACAACTGGTCGGGCTCCGGTTACATAACTGGTCGGGCTCCGGGGGTGTCACTTGGGCCTCGAGTTGTGCATGATCGGGCTTCTGTTCAAGCATGGTTGTGCTTCAGATGTTCTTTGTTTTGAATTGTTTGTTTGGTCCATTCATGCTAGGCTTGCGGTTACACAACTGGTCGGGGTCCGGTTACACAACTGGTGGGGCTTTGGTTACACAACTGGTCGGGCTCCGGTTAAATAACTGGTCGGGCTCCGGTTAAATAACTGGTCGGGCTCCGGGGGTGTCACTTGGGCTGTGGGTTGTGCATGGTCGGGCTTCGGTTCGTGCATGGTTGTGCTTCAGATTTTTTTTTTCGGTTCGTTCATGCTAGACTTGTGGTTACACAACTGGTCGGGGTCCGGTTACACAACTGGTTGGGCTCCGGTTACACAACTGGTCGGGCTCCGGTTACATAACTGGTCGGGCTCCGGGGGTGTCACTTGGGCTTCGGGTTGTGCATGGTCGGGCTTCTGTTCGTGCATGGTTGTGCTCCAGATGTTGTTTGTTCGGTTCGTTCATGCTAGGCTTGTGGTTACACAACTGGTCGGGGGTAAATAACTGGTCGGGCTCCGGTTAAATAACTGGTCGGGCTCCGGTTAAATAACTGGTCGGGCTCCGGGGGTGTCACTTGGGCTTTGGGTTGTGCATGGTCGGGCTTCGGTTCGTGCATGGTTGTGTTTGAGATGTTTTTTGTTCAGTTCGTTCCTGCTAGGCTTGAGGTTACACAAATGGTCAGGCTCCGGTTACACAACTGGTCGGGCTCTGGTTACATAACTGGTAAGGGCTCTGGGGGTATCACTCGGGCTTCGGGTTATGGATGGTCAGGCTTCGGTTCGTGCATTGTTGTGCTTCAGATGTTTTTTGTTTGGTTTGTTCATGCTAGGCTTGCAGTTACACAACTGGTCGAGGTCCGGTTACACAACTGTTAGGCTCCGGTTACACAACTGGTCGGGCTCCGGTTACTTAACTGGTCGGGCTCCGGGGGTGTCACTTGGGCTTTGAGTTGTGCATGGTCGGGCTTCAGATCAGGCATGGTTATGCTTCAGATGTTGTTTGTTTTGAATTGTTTGTTTGGTCCGTTCATGCTAGGCTTGCGGTTACACAACTGGTCAGGCTTCGGTTACACAAATGGTCAGGCTCCGGTTAAATAACTGGTCGGGCTCCGGTTAATTAACTGATCGGGCTCCGGTTAAATAACTGGTCGGGCTCCGGGGGTTTCACTTGGGCTTTGGGTTGTGCATGGTCGGGCTTTGGTTTGTGCATGGTTGTGCCTAAGATGATGTTTGTTCATGAATCTTGAGTATTCGTTCTGTAATAAGAGAGAAAGTCCTCACTGATAAATAATAATATATGTATTAATAAGATATATACAGCAGTATAAGCAGTGCACTAAGCATATGTCAGCCCACATTTAATATCTATATAATAACAATAATAATAATGTTTATTCAGGTAAAAGTAAATACATTCAAAAAGTTACCAGCAGAATGTTAGACTTCTAGAGAAAGCTAGTACTTGCTATGCCAATTAAGCCACTAATACGCACAGAGTTTCGGGCATCTAACTACAATAATTTTAGTGTATATATTTTGATATGATATTGCAATATGAAAGATGTTAAGACAAACTTATTTAATTCATTCAATTGTATAAGGATAAATCGCCTTGCATATCGGAAAAATACTTTTGCATCATTATAATATAATTCTCATGTGCCATCTAATTATTCACAACTTGAAATTATTCTCAATATCTAATGGGCATTTTATTATCTTTGCAGACGAGAACCGAAGCGAACACACGCCAGTGCATATATGTGTGTTATATATGCGTTTTTGATCGGAGAAGATCTTGATAATCTACAACTGTGAAGACGTGGAAGGACCCATTATACTTCATACAGTGAATATTGGTAACTTATCCTATTATTTTATTTTAATATATATATATATATATATATATATATATATATATATATATATATATATATATATATATATATATATATATATATATATATATATATATATATATAATAATATGTGCCGGTTGTCCAGCAGAGAGAGAGCCCCGTTACCTAATGTCCCGCAACTCTGATGAGCCTGTCGGTCGCCCAGACGGAATCACGGTGAACCCCTGGAAGAATGGTAGACAGTTGGTGTGGGACTACACTTGCGTTTCAACTTTAGCCAATACCTATGTTGACTTCAGTGCTACACAAGCAGGAGGAGCTGCCAATCACCGGGAAGCGGCCAAGTCACGTAAATACAGAGACCTTGAGCACCACTACAATTTTGTCCCCATTGCTTCAGAGACACTTGGTGCCTGGGGTAAAAGTGCTGCTAGCTTTTTGAAGGAGTTGGGGTCTAAGCTAACAGAAACAACTAGAGACCCTAGAGCTGCCAGTTTTCTTTTTCAGCGCCTTAGTGTGGCAATCCAGAGAGGAAATGCTCACTGCATCCATGGTTCCTGACCGCCATCTGAGGAGCTGGAAGAGCTGTACAACTTGTGACAAGCAGCCTTGCACCCTGCATGTAATCAATATTGTAACTTTTTTTGTGTAATGACATTTTCAAATAAAGTTAGATAAATATACACACATACCAAAAGAATAGGGGTGGTAGGAGAAGAAAATATCAAAGTGTTCAGTGAGGATCCACAAGGTCTTCTCTGAGTACTCTTTATTTTCTTCTCCGAGGCTATGGGTCCCTACACTTGCACCGGAGATGGTACCCCTATATAATGTGTGTCTAGAAATAATATTAAACAATTAAGATCGTGTAGTGTACTCTATATATCAAAATATATTACTTTGAAACCCGTATTAGTCACTAAACAAAAAATTGGGCTACTCTTATTACAAATTCGCTACTTTTAGACCGTCAGCTCGCTACTTTCAGCAATTGGGACCTGGCAACCCTGATGTGGGAATTTATATCCCAGTACAGACAAGGATGTTGTTGTAGGGACACGTTCTCATCCGGCAGGAGACCTGTGTTGTTGTAGGGACACGTTCCCATCCAGCAGGAGACCTGTGTTGTTGTGGACGGCGGCGACTGTGTTCCTCGCGCTCTCTCCCGGGGGACCTTGATTTACCTCTCCTCTCATTTATCACCACACCTGCAGGTAAGAACTATTCCCGTACGGGCTACAAGCTCTAGTCACACCAATTTGATATTGTTGAGGCAGTGCATAGTTGGACGACCAAACTCTGCTGGCCAGCTGTTGCATCAGTTTTGTGTTGACATACAGGTACAGTAGCGTGTTTCATACTGATGGATTAGATTGCATTGTAGGCCAGTCCGTGTGACTATGGAGTGATGGCCTGCAAGATCAGGTCCAAGGGAAGTGTAAACAGAATGGAAAGATTGAGTTTCCCGGCGAACGGGTCAGACAGCAAGTTAGACGAAGTCCAGTCCTGGCACAGTGAAAGGCTCTGTGCCCCAAGATACTGTCCTTGCATCATCCTCACTCATATCATACATAGACAATCATATCATACATAGACAAAAATACATACATATCATTCATGGATAAATGAAAATACATCATTCATGGATAAATGAAAATACATCATTCATGGACAAAAATACATCATTCATGGACAAAAATACATCATTCATGGACAAAAATACATCATTCATGGACAAAAATACATCATTCATGGACAAAAATACATCATTCATGGACAAAAATAATCATTCATGGATAAGAATACATGCATATCATTCATGAACAAAAATACACACAGATCATTCATGGACAAAAATATATATCATTCATAGACAAAATACAAATCAGCTTTGTGTCACCCTTTGCAAATAAAGTCAAAATTAAAATTACGTCGGGAGTACTGAAAACTGCATATAGATATCAATGTCTTACACTACTTTGACTAGGGGGAACCTCTTTAACAGATTTTTTTATGATTTAATTCCTCTTTCGAGACTATTACAGAAAACACAAGCTCAGGGAGGTACTAAAGGGTTTTGGGACCATGATCTGAAGGCTCTGTGTTCCTCTGTACCCATCAAGCTATTCCTAACTCCTGAGGTGAGAAGATTTGATTTGGCATCAGCAGATCTGACTGATGGAGACGTGTTTGTTGGTTCTGGCTAGTGATGGTCTGTGGTACATCACATCTAATGAAAAAGCAGTATCAATGTGGATAAAACACTCCTGCATTTCCCCTGCTCAATGTTAGGCTTGTATCGAGGTCATCCCACTTCCTAGGGTCATATTAGACTCTTCCCCAGGATGCAACCCCACTACAAGCTTGTTAACTCTTAGGTACCTGTTTATTGCAAGGTGAACAGATGCATCAGGTGATAGGAAATACACCCAACCATTTCTGTCCCACCTGGGATTCGAACCCAGAATCCCTGAGTGAGAGTAGAAAATGAACCCGACTAAACGACCGGGACTCTTTTTGGCCTTTGCTAGAAGAAATTTTGGAAGATGGATCTCCTGCTCAATCCCTCCACCCATTTATTGTCACACTCCATACATAAATGTACAGAAATTAATTTGTATTATATAGTTACAAGAATTGCTATTTTTTATTAATCGCTGTTTTTCACCTTTCAAGTGATATATGCCAAGATGCGTTTGGAGGCCCAGGCAATCGTGTTAGCAGCAGGCCCAGGAATGAGGATGACAACATTAACCAATCACACTCCCAAGTGTCTCCTTCCTCTGGGCACTCTTCCCATGGTCTGCTACCCACTTCAGCTCCTGCAGGAGGCTGGTTTCTCAGGTAGGTGTGTCTTGAATACACATTAATATAACTCTGAAGTTGTAAAAGTATCTGTCATACCAGTCAATTAAGAGTTGTAGCTCTAATTCCTCGCCTACAGTATCTTAAATTTCATTGCCACTATTAGTTTTCTGGGAGGAGCTCCATTGGCTCCCTGAACCTATCATACACTGATCAGTGCCATACTACAAGGTGCCATCAGCCATGGAATTCTATTTTCCTAGTGGGGACCACAAGCCAGAACCTTGTTCCCTCAGAGAGGTGCAGGGAGTGATGGCATATGAAAACTTTATCTTTAAAGTCAATCATAATTGCCACCAATGAAAGTTAAGCAAATCAAAACAGACCACTGCATGGTTAAAAACTAGACCATGCCCCAAAATTGCCAAAGAACTTGCCAACAATGAAAACAAACCACCAAAATTTTGTGAAACTAGCGTGTGCACTAGTTTGCCCCACCTCTAGTGGGGCAAATTCGTGGCTCAGATTTGCCCTGCGGAGGTTAGAGAGTCTCTTTGTGCGTACCTCTTGCGAGACCCGGTTTACGCCTCTGTGATGGATCCGTCTGTTTGAGTTCAGTTCTTCTTTCTCTTATAGGGTGCATTATGAGTATGATATTTATCATGAAAAATATAATTGTTGAATTTATTATTTAAATGGTCTTTCACTGTGTCCCTAGAGTTGAGTTGAGGTGAGAAAGCCTCGGGATTATTGGTTCCCTGATTTTAATAAGTACATGATAAAGATGGGACATGCTAATAATGACCTCTTGATAACATCTTTTGAGAATTTTGTGATACAGACAAGTTCCATTCCTTGTCTGGTATATAATAGTCTTGAATGGATGGTGGCAGCATTTCGTCTTCTACTATCTACTCTTCTACTTCTATCTACTCTTCTACTTCTACCTATCTATTCCTCTCCCTCCACCCCTCTCCGAACTTCCCTTTCAGCTAATGACCCTCCTCGCTCCTCCCACCTCTCTCCCTCTCACCCCAAACCCTCACTAATTACTTCACTATTCATTTCTTTCCTTTCGTTTCTCTTATACGTTTGTAGGCAGTGATTCTGTATTCTAGAGTTCTCTCTAGAGTTTTCGGGTAGCGGATCAAGTTACGGCGCCTTGTAGTCTTAGCGCCTAGGTAGTCAAATACCTAGGTTACAAGGTGTTGAACGAGAGAGGTGGCCTTAGGAACTCTGGGAGTGCACTAGAATAGTTAGCTAACTGAGGACGGGATAACGGACTAGAGAGAGCTGTTTCCCCCGGCCTCGTTAGTTAACTGGGGGGTGGAATAATGAACAAGATAGAGCTATTTCCCCCACCCCCCCGTTACAATGTTGGCAGCGGTGTCGAACAATGTTTATGGTAGTGTTCATTTAACATTGTTTAGTCCCACGTGTCTTTTTGCCACTCAGGCGCTATCAGGGAGATCTTGACAGTGTTTAATATTCGCGGTTTAGCAAGTTTTTTTTCAGGTTAGGAGATAGTGATTCTCTGGTGTTGTGTTAGTGATTTGGTGAGTTTTGTGAAGTTCAGGGAATGTTCACCAGAACTTGCGTGTGTAGTGATTTGTGTTAATTGATAAGATTTGGTGATTTGGGAACTTAGCGGTGTTGGTAGTGGAGCTCACCTGAGTGTGACAGGTGACCTCGCATGTCCCAGGGGGACACCCAGCCACCGCTGGTCTCCAGGTCAGTTGGGGAGTGGCAGGTGTAGTTATTAAGTAGTTTAAGTAGTGGTTCTGCTCAGATTATTGCGATCGACTGTTTTACTCCATTTGAATGCAATAACCCAAGGTGTACTGGTTTTGTACAGCATGCTAGGGGGAGGCTTAGTATGTCAGTAGACTTCACGTTGGGGACGCTCGACGTTAGATAGTCTGGTTACAGGGGTGGCAAAAGTTTTGAGTTGTTGACCGGCGGAGAAGCTAGGGAAACACTCTGGGTCACGTAGGTGGCTGTAGGTTAAGGGTGGGAGTAACGGCTGTTTAAGTACGTAAGATTAAGAACGGTACAGTTAAGTTAGGCTAGTATTTTGTCTATTAGTGTTGATTTTTTTTTTTTTGTGACAAGTTAAAAGTAGTGATAACCTTATTCTCTCTTCTCTAACTTTACTCTGTTACTGTATTATGTTCCACCAAGTCAATTTCATTCAGTGTCAATTGGATTATTTAAATTTAAGTGTAGTCGTTGCCAGGAGGAGAGCAGTATGAGTAGACTGTGTGAACCCTATACCAACTACAGGGTCACACAACATCTTGGGAGCACGGTATTGTCGCCTTTATGTTCATTCACAGGTGGGAGCCAGAGGAGAGGCGCGATGCATATACAGAAGAGAGAGACGGCTGCTTGGTACCACACTCAGGGGCGTTCCTCACCACGACGACAACCAGCCCCCTACCTGGAGATCATGGCTCCACCACCACCACCACCACCACCCCAGGGGACCCCCGAGATACAGCCCTCTCGGTCGGTCAACATTGGTCTACCCAGTGGACCCCAGGACGGACGGACGGATTCCAGTGGACCCCAGGACGGACGGACCCCCAGTGGACCCCCAGGTCGTCCTGCAGACTACCACAGACGATCCAGTAAAGATGAAAGAGGAACAACGACAACTCCAGTCAGTTCTACCAATATTGGTCCGCCCAGGACGGATCCCAGGAAAGACGGACCCCAGGTGACCCCAGGTCACTTGTCAAAGACCCATGGGAGGAGGAAGAGAGAAGAAAGAAGAGAGAAGAAAGAAGAAAAGAAGAGAGAAGAAAGAAGAGAGAAGAAAGAAGATAAGACCAAGCTGAGTGAGACACGATGCCTAGTGTCCCTCGCTGGTGACAGCAGCAATGCATGGAGCATAAATGCAAGACAGGATCGTTTGCTTTATCTGGCCGCCCCTCCTGCAAGCATGTTGCTCTGTTGAGTGATTCTTCCTGTGTCATGCGGACTTGATGTGGCTGTCAGAAGTAGCTCTCTGAAGGAGGCGTGCTGGAGCAACAGGGAGGAAGAAGAGTAGGATGGATTTCTACTGTTGGCAACTATATGAAGGTCTCGAACCATGTAGTCCCCATAGCTGTGAAGAACCCCAATATACGTCTCTCATGGTGACTGACGTAGGGCCAATTACAGATCAGCTGGGACAACCGAATTCCACGGTCCTGTGCGCAGTTCAAGTAGTAACGGCTTTCTGGTTGACCAAGGGTTGTTGTGCGTTAACGACGGAGAAGCGACGGAAGCAGTTGTGTTGAAGAAATGTGGTACAGGACTATCTACAAGACCAAGCAGTGACGTCGCCCAGCCAGAGACAATGGACGTCTGTCTACATATTTCATTTTTTAGAGTAGGATGATGTATATTTGTTTAGCTAGGATGTATTTTTTTTCGTTAATAAAGTTGTTGCACACAGCTAGCTTGCTTTAGCAGTGTTGCAAAAACTTTATTTCGGGGAGAAGGGGAGATGTAACACTGTAAAAGTGTTTGGTTTAGTTTATTTAAAATATATATAGTACATGAGTCACATACAAGGATTGAGAAGGCGCCAGTTTGTCCACCGGAAAGTCACACCTCTAATAGTTTTTTTTTTTAGATATATACAAGAGTTGTTACATTCTTGTACAGCCACTAGTACGCGTAGCGTTTCGGGCAGGTCCCTAGAATACGATCCCCTGCTGCGAAGAATCGTTTTTTCATCCAAGTACACATTTTACTGTTGCGTTAAACAGAGGCTACAGTTAAGGAATTGCGCCCAGTAAATCCTCCCCGGCCAGGATACGAACACATGACATAGCGCTCGCGGAACGCCAGGCGAGTGTCTTACCACTACACCACGGAGACTGTTTCTCCGTGGTCGGCATGTTTCTTCAAACATGCCGACGTTTAAGGAATGGCTTGGTAGAGTGCCGGAGGCTAGCAGGGAGGCTGTCGGCCGGCAGGGCGAGACAGTCTCTGTCAAGCTACAGACCCCCCCCCCTCAATCCAGCTATAGGCAGAGACACTTGGTGAGTTGAGCAGTAAGGTGACTTGGACGTGTTTTACAAGTGTTGTGATGATGATCAGGGGCAGTCAGTTGTAGTGTTCTCAGATTCTTGGAGGATGACTCACTTTGAATATTAATCTTTAACATTTTAATTGGATTGCTTAAGTTATGATACTTATCATGAAAAATATAATTGTTGAATTTATTATTTAAATGGACTTTATTTTGTTCCCTAGAGATTTTGAGTTGAGGTGAGAAAGCCTCTGTGGTTACTGGTTTCATGGTTTAGAATGAGTACATGATAAAGATGGGACCATACTAATAATGATCTCTTGATAACATCTTTGGTGAATATTGTGATACAGACAAGTTCCATTCCTTGTCTTGTATGTAATGATCATGATTGGATGGTGGCAGCATTTAGTCTTCTTCTATCTACTTTCTACTTCTACTATCTACTTTCTACTTCTACTATCTACTCTTCTACTTCTACCTATCTACACCTCTCCCTCCACCCCTCTCTGAACTCTCACTTTCAACTAATGACCCTCCTCGCTCCTCCCACCTCCCTACCTCTCACCCCACACCCTCACTAATTACTTCACTATTCATTTCTTTCCTTTCGTTTCCTCTTATACGTTTGTAGCAATGATTCAGTATTCTAGAGTTCTCTCTAGAGTTTCGGGTAGCTGATCCAGTTACTGCGCCTTGTAGTCTTAGCACCTAGGTAGTCAAATACCTAGGTTACAAGGTGTTGAACGAGAGAGGTTGCCTTAGGAACTCTGGGAGTGCTCTAGAATAGTTAGCTAACTGTGGACGGGATAACGGACTAGAGAGAGCTGCTTCCCCCGGCCTCGTTAGTTAACTGGGGGGGTGGAATAATGGACAAGATAGAGCTATTTCCCCCCACCCCCCGTTACAGGAGGTTCCGAAATCTTCTTAGCTAACAGACTGCCCTTTCTTCTTTCTTGGGCTTGGCATGACTTTTGTCATACCCGCATGCTTGAATGGGGGGGAGGTTTCGTCGGTGTTGCAGGAATTCTTAGAGGCTTGCAAGAGTTCCTCAATGAGTGCCTCTTTGCTCCTTTGCTTCCTTGGGATGTGGGTCTGGTGCATGTTCAGGTTCCCACTCTTTTTGGCTGCGTTGGCGGCTGATGACCTTCGGACTCGCGGTCATTTGGCCTTTGTCTTATGTTTTTCCGGTCTTTGGACCTGTTTTCAGATCGGTTTTTGGAGAATTTGGGGGTGCTGGGCGAGGGTTCTTAGACTTGGGTTCTGGAATCAACTGCTGCGTCATCGTCTGCCCTTCTGAAGCTGTTTGCACCGATCCTCCGGGAGGCGGTCACTATGTTTTTCACCTCACGTCTCACTTGTTGGCAGGCTGTGCTTGCTCTGTCTTTGCATTCGGCTTGGGCCCTGGCTCTTCAGTCTTCTTCGCTATTTTGTCCTCTGTTATTCCCGGAGGACAGTGTTGCCCAGTTTCTGTCTGCGGCTTCGGCCAGTTGCCGTCCTGTATCGGACTTGTTGGTGCTCTGGGAGGGGGAGGGGCATCATTCCAGCCCCTCTCAGTTGGGTCGTGGCAGGGCTTGGGCTTCTCTTGGTCGACATTCTGACATTCCAGCACTGAAAGTGAGTTACATTATACTTGAGGTTCTAATTTTTTCTTACATTGATTTGCATTGTTTATCTTGTCAATTTGTTCGTTTTAAATATTTTACGTATCTAATAAGATAAAAAGGGGGCAGAAAATTAGACTCTCTGTACAACTCCTAATTTTTGTTTTTTCCATGACTCGATAATGGTTCGGGATGAACCAAAATGTCTTCAATTCTTTTTCAGATTTGTGGATGGTTAACAAATTTGTATATTTCTACAGAGGTGACAGTGGTGGTGAGTGTGGGTGAAGAGCAGAGAATGAGCAAAGTGGTGGAGCAGTATGGGCTCAAGCTAAACCTGGACATAGCTCCAGTCAACACCTCCCATGACCCAGGCACTGCTGACTCCCTCAGACATGTTGCCTCCAAGATCAAGGTTTGCATTATTTTATGTTACATGACTTGTTTTTTATCTCTGTTCCCGTAAAGGGAATGACGGGGTGGGGTGAAAATTGATTGTGTTCTGAAATAAAAAATGTTTGTACATATTATTCATTAATTCATTATCATTACTCCATTTTTCCAATATTGTATGGTGGGGAGGCATAAGTAGGTAGAAAAAATTGCTTGCTCTGCCATTAGTGGGAAGAAATTGAGTAATTGGCTTCCAGCCCAATCTATTTACTTTGTCCCTGACCATTAGAAAAGCCAGAAGAATGGGGATCTCAAACCAGCTACTTGTTGCAGGCTAATATGAGAATTCTTGAAAGCTGAAGATCCCGCAGTACTACGTAGTAGCCCTCGTAAACACCCTGGGTGTTGGGGAATGTGAATATTAACCAAATTGTGAATAATTCTGGGCTTGGATAATTTTCTGGGGGGAGCCCCGTCGGCTCCCCGGAGCTTTACCGGCTGATATGCTAATGTCAGACTTTGGCATCAGTCATGTGTATGGAGTTCTAGGGCCTACCGGGGACCACGAGCCAGAACCTGGCCCCCTCAGAGAGGCAAAGGGAGCAATGGCCTATAGAAACCCCCGTGTGGTTGGAAGCATTCTATGTCTGCCATCGACCGGGTCAAGCATCCAGAAAGGTAAGCATTCCAAAACAAACCCCTATTCTGGTGAAAATTGCTACCTAAGCCGAACTAGTGAATAGAACTCTTCAACAGAAAACAAGGAAACTAGTATGACGTCATACGTCACCGCGCCGCTGTCTGCGCAGCTCCCCCCTCCCCGGGAGGGGGAAGGGGGAGCCCCAGACCTCCCACGCCGGCTATCCACCCATCAGTTCTTCGGCTGATGCTATAGGCAATGGTTATGTGCTCCGGCTCCAGTGGTTGTTTCAGCACTGTACCTAGAGTGTGGTGTCTGTTTTCTAGGTGGTGCGTGAGCCGGGAGTGATTCTTCAGTACTTGGGCTGCATGCGCCTAGGGTTCCCTTCCCTAGGTGCCCTGTAAGTACTGCCCTTGGGGCTTGGGGCCACCTTCCACAAGTTCCTTGGGTCCTGCCCCTGCTTGGCCGTTTACTGCTTGGTTTTCGGCCGCTCTTTGTGTGCTCGGGGGTTCTGTCTCCCTTGTTCGCCTTAGAGTAAGGGGCAGTGTTTGCACTGGTGGGGCGCGGGGTACTGTGCAGCTTGTCTTTACCAATCATAGCGGCCGGCTCTGTTCCGCTTGGGTACGCTGTCCTCTTGCGGGGTTTTCTTTTTCTTTTGTTTCTTTACCTGGTGGGGGGGTCTGCCTTCGTTCCATCTCCTTGTGCCGCCTGGGTTTCGGTGGTCACGCCCGAGATCTTCTCGCGGCTCCGCCTTTTTCCTGGGCTCGGGGGGGCCTTGTCAGGGCTGCTTATGTTCTGCCTTGTGGTCTTGCCTCCGGTTGGTGGTCGGGTGGCTTCGTGGTAGGTGTCCCACCTGCGTGCTTCTCTTGGCGGCAGTATGGGGTATTTTGGCGGTCCTTCCTTTTCCTGTCCCTTCTTAGGTGGTTCCTCTTGTTAGCTTGGTTTACTCTTGGCTTGGTTTTCTAGTGGGGGTTGGGGGCCGTCGTCTTGCCACATACTGTCGCCTCTTTTCATGCGGCGCAGGCGGAGCCGCTTCAGCTTGCTTTCGGTCTTGGTGTTGCTTCTGCACCGTTAGTCAGCTGTCTTGTGCGTCGTTTCACCTCAGGCCTGTTCGTGCGCCGCTTGCACCATCCTGGTCTCTGGTCAGCGTGCTCTGTCTTCTCCTCGGTTGGTAGTGCCCCTTCGGTTCCGGTGTGTTTTTTTCGTCGGCTCTTTCCTTTGGGCCTTTGCCTCTGGGGGTCGGTTCGCTGAGTTTTCTTGCTCCTTCGGTTTTAGCGTTTTGGTTGTTTGATGGCAGCAGTCTCCATCTTTTCTGGCGCGGGGTGGGGCTGCTGCATTCTGGAGGGGTCCAGGGTTTGTTGGTGCTTCGTTGGTCGGGGCCGGGGGTGTCGTTTTTGTGTTCAGTGGCGGCCCTCCGCTGTTGTTTGCGTGCCACGGCGTTTGGGTCCGGAGCGCGTTTTGCGTTGATCCGGTTCTGTTCTTCCCGGTTCGCGGGTGATGGTGTCCCGGGTGGTCAGCCGTGTTCTTGTGGCTAAGCTGCCTGTGTTCTTCCCTCATGCCTGTGGCGTTCGTGGCTTCGCTGCTCTCGCTGCCGTCTGGGCGACGTGGCCTTGCAGTCTTTCGGGCATGGATTTTTGGTGTTCGTGCAGGGGCCTTGCTGCTCGTGGTTCTCGTGTTGTTCCCGGGATTTTCGGGGCTGTGGCGCCTTGGGTTGGCGTTTGCTGCCGGTTGTCTTGCCTCCTTGGGGGGTGCGTGGTGTCCGCCTCCCGGTTTTGTCCCTTTGACCTTCCTCTGTGGGTAGTTAGCTCCGGGAGCCGACGGGGCTGTTACGAACCCGGATCCAGCGTTCGAGCCTGGAGCAGTGACAAACACGCCATCTGTGGGTCAGCTCCCGAAACCCCCGCCAAACGAACGACGACACCTAGTGAGGACAGCGTGTACTGGACTCGAGGACCAGTTTCCAGTCTGGTTCAGCGCTCAACACCGCCGCCGCTGACCTCTGGTGAGGTGGTGCTCAGACTACAACGCCACCTATGGAGTGGATATGTCCGGCGTTTGTGTCTGAGCCTGTAAGTGTGGTGTTTTAGTGTCCCTGTTATTGATGACGTGTCTGCTTACAGAGCCGACCTGGGACCACTGTGATGGAAGTGGAGTCAGTCTACCCGAGGCAGCCAGTCTCCATACTGTGAAGTTTGCTGCAGCTGTCGTGACGTCGTCCCCCCGGAAGAACACTGTGGTGTGTTAAGCCTGCCAGTGGAGTGGCAGTGGAAGGATTTACCCGGGACCGACGGTTGGAGACGATAATCCACTGGGGTATTGAGGACAGGAGGGTGATTGGTGATATCACACGAGACTCCTGTCTAGGGCGTACCCCTTTTATCGTTCGTGGAGTGGCCGTACCAGCCTTGGTGGCTCAGTACCTGCCAGCAGACCTGCTGGACGTGTGGTTGACGGCCTCCACGACGGTGCCCCCAGTGGACCTGTGTGTGGCTGACCTGTGGCCAGGGTAGGCTCGGCGTTCTCAGAGGACACGTCTTGAGGCCACGAAGAAAGCACCGCGGACTCAGCACCTAGCTTCGAGGATCCATAGTCTCCAGCAGAAGACTACAGTGTTGATCCCCTTTGTAAAGTGTTAATACCCCTCCCCCTTGTGTACGTTTTACTTTTATATATTTAAATGGTGATGGTGAACATTATATTATATTAAGTTCTTAACTTTCTTTCCCTACTCCCTTTTAAGTTACTTGCGTCACGGATCTCATCCCTTGATAGCCACTACTGGCTTGGGAACGGATACCTATATCTTCCTCTAACAACATCAGAGTGAGAACCCCGTTGCGTCCCGAGAGGGCCGTAACAGGGGCTCCCCCCAGAAAACCAGCGTTGAATGTAATGAAACGCCATTTTCTGGGTGAGACCCGGATGCTCCCCGGCAACCCTCCCTCCCTCCGGTCGGCGTTTTTCGCGTGTTTTGACATCCAGCCTCAGAACTGATGGGTGGATAGCCGGCGTGGGAGGTCTGGGGCTCCCCCTTCCCCCTCCCGGGGAGGGGGGAGCTGCGCAGACAGCGGCGCGGTGACGTATGACGTCATACTAGTTTCCTTGTTTTCTGTTGAAGAGTTCTATTCACTAGTTCGGCTTAGGTAGCAATTTTCACCAGAATAGGGGTTTGTTTTGGAATGCTTTTTGGATGCTTGACCTCGATGGCAGACATAGAATGCTTCCAACCACACGGGGGTGGCCATTGCTCCCCTTGCCTCTCTGAGGGGGCCACTGGCTCGTGGTCCCCGGTAGGCCCTAGAACTCCATACACATGACTGATGCCAAAGTCTGACATTAGCATATCAGCCGGTAAAGCTCCGGGGACCTCCGGGTCTCACCCAGAAAATGGCGTTTCATTACATTCAACGACAAGTTTGGCACAACTCACAAGGTATCACCACAATCACTTCTGTCTGACAAGTAATGAATGTAGGTGCATAGAAGTGAGTGCTAGGGAAGTGGCAGGCTAGTAGCCTGCCTCGATGACTGGTTGGTGTTGTCTGCTTGTCTGCTAGCCGGGGTTCTGGTGCTTTCCCAGCTTGCTGGGTTCGGGTTGCTTTGTGCTCCAGCTCTATTTGGACTGCTCCAAGCAAGAGCCTGTTAGACCAAGTTATCAGACCGGGAGTAGAACTCCCAGAACCCTCTCCAGGTATGCTCCAGGTAGTTGTCCCAATCTTGTCTTATTTTCTTTTGCTAAAAATGTATTAATATAAACTTATTCCCTCACTACATTATTGACATGTTTACTTACAGCGGAGTGTTGATGACATTGTGATTGTATCAAGTGATTTGGTGACTGATGTTAAACTTCAAGATATCTTGAATCGGCACCGGTCTAGTGGTGCGGCGTTCACCATGCTCACAGCTAACAAACAGCCAGAATTCTTGAAGGCAGTTGCTCCTGGACCTAAAACTAAACCTACACTCAGTAAGTCATAATGTCTGCCCAGCTGAGTTTACAAATGTTTACAGTGCTAAGATTAATTTTGAGTGGTCATTGTATTGAGATTTGAGATTTCTTTGTAAATGGTAGATATTTTCTTTTCTTTGTTATAAATACTGTAATAAGTATAGTATGATATTTGCTGGTAGATAAGACACATGTTTTAGTCCACAACCCACTAAATGTGTACTGTATTTATGTATATACACCATCATATGTTTTCACTTCCCCCCCTCCTTCCCCCTATAAAACCACTTAAAAATCACTTTTAATAAATATGTAACATAGTAAAAAAAATGTTTCCACAAAATGTTCATGTACCCTTGCAAATTTGGTGAAATAATGCAATGAAATAGGTTTTGCTAGCTCAGTCTCCTTAGGAGCTACTAAGTCGTGTTTAATTGCTGCTTTCATATCTGTCCTGCTACATTTGGCTCAGGTTGGAGAATTGCTAATATTTGTACATAAAGCTAACTGTTGCTTTGTTTCTGAGCCAAGATCCCTCAGATGCCCGCAGCAAGAAACCCTTTGGATCACCAGGACAATGTTACTACACTAGGCTCTCATGGTTTTCTTCCCTAGCTGGATACAGGTTTTTGGAAATGGGTTTATCAGGGAAAAAAGATTGTTATGGCTTGAGTCTAGCTCAAGCCATTACAGAGGGTGCATCTCACTATGGCACACAGGGTGCAGGGTGCAGCTCACTATGCCATATGGGAAGAGCAGTACCTTCAGTAGCCATTACAAGCATTAATTAACATTTTGCAATCTACTGCCTCAAACTATGCTGCCACCTGCCTTGCTAGAGTGGCCGGACCCAAAGAGTTACAGGGCTGGAGAAAGCCAACTTCTCAATTTTTGCCAAGTACATTACTATGCTATTCTAAGCTATGCATTGGTTAATTACATAAAGTTTTAGTTAGGTTCTTCGTTATTGTTCGCATCATGGAAAGTATCTGCAACTACTGTAGTTATTTGTGTGCCACTGTCTATAGGGGTTCCATTACAGCTTAGTTGCAGGGTTATTGTTCTGTGTATGGTTTTTTAAACATGAATGACCCCCTAGAGATATATTTTCTATAGTAGTTTGATGCATAAACAGGGCTAAGGTTTTCTCATTGAATAGGACGGTATTAGGACGGATGGTGCACTCCGAGAATGATTCTCTTGTGACTTGACTACAGTATCTGCCTGGATTTACCTTAGGATGAGCATGAGTGGGAAGTAATGTAGTCAGTTATAATAGTTTGCAGAGTGCTAAGTAGTGTTTGCAGTGGATGTTGAGGGTATTGCTCCCTGCAGGGTGTCAATTTGGGCTGAACCTTCTGTGATGGCTTGAGTTAGACTTCCCATTGTCTCCCTTATGCACCTTTATCCATGATGAGACCATTTGCAAAAATCTATATCAGGCTTTAAAAGAAGTCACATGACCCTAGCATAGTGGCATTGTTCTGGTGGTCCAAATATCTTCTGACTTAGAAAGACTCCAAGAAACCACCTGAAAAGTAGTGTTTTACTATACTCAACATCTTATTTTTGGTTAAGCATAGTATCTCCCCCACAGTCTGTCACAGCATGACAAGGGTATACAAAATATAAGGATTCAAAATATGATATTCCTTTTGGTAATACACTTTGGACAGTTTTTATTGTTTACTTCCCTTTTGACAGGTAGCGATGTTGTGTGTCTGGAGACGGGGACAAAACGGCTGATGTATGCAGTAGCAGGCGGTGACTATGACGAAGTTATCACGCTGCATTCCCGTGTTTTCAAGAGTGCCAAGTCCCTTGACTTGTCAACTTCTGTGATTGATGCTCACCTCTACATCATGAAGCGATGGCTTGTTGATTACATCCTTAGTAAAGAGTAGGGTTCTTAGTGTTTTTGTTTCATTATGAGTTTCTCTTGGCTGCTCATGTTATAGTAGATTTTTCTTTCCAGGTTTTGTTAACTAAATGAATACATGCACAGAAGGTTTACTTATGTTAGTCTGGAAGGTATGAAATTTTGAGGCACTTATACTGACATTAATTTTGATGAAAATTGCTCAGTTGATCAGGTATTGATAATTAAAATACCCAGTAGGTACTTGCAAATGCTGACAGTACGCAAAGGGCACGACTCTTTAAGTCATATAGTTTAATGTGATATATTTTAGTTCAATTTGTTTAACACTTTCGCGCTTAGGATTATCCATGAGTCATCACCGTATTTTCTTACGTTTCCGCATAACAGACGACGCCTGTAGTCCATCGAAAAAATATTTGTATAAAATCCATTTATTATCCGATCAACTTGGGAATAGTATACAAATGTTTGCCATGAAATTTACGTTTTCTCTAATAGCCGAACAGCTTATAAAAGAAAACGGCGTGGCAGTGAATCATCGTGGTAAAACAATTGTATTATTGACACGACGAGTGTAATCGACGTAGTTTTTATATATGTTGCCGGTCGAACGCATCCTTATGTGACCTTTAATACTTATGTTCTTATAGAACATTCTATTGCGAGCACATTGGTACAAAAATGAAATACATACATCGACAAATAATGTCAGGACAGTGAATTGAATATACACTTTTCAAAGCGAGTTTCGCCGATATGCTGCCGCGGGTAACACTTCGGCCACTTCCCACACTGTTTTGGGTGGGCTACAACATTGAATCTATATTTATATGCATATGTCCGTGTAGAGAATTTTATTGCGATTCCAATGATACCACAATTAGCGATGTAGGACAACTGTAGGCTTCGCAACCATTAAGAGAGTGGAAACATTTTGTTGCTGTTTGGCGCTCTTGGCGAGTGATCTGAATAGTTTTTTATTTGGTGTTGATAGTCCTTGTACAGGCATACCTCAGAATAAGAGTTTAATCCGTTCCTGGAGACGCCTCGCCTTCCGAAAACTCGCATTCCGAAGTTAATTTCCCCATAAGAAATAAAGGGAAATGAATTAATCCGTTCCTGACTACCCCAAAAACCCCACATCAAACTAAATTTTTATACCTAATTTACCTAATTCATCTAAATAAACCTACAAAACTGTGTTCCAGTTATTACTTACCTTGCTGTCGAGTGCTGTAGGCGTATGGAAGATGGTGAGGAGGGGGGAGGAGGAGAGGAGTTACTGTTTGGAAGGGGAGTCCCCTTCCATAATCACATCACATAACCCCATGCCTTGTAACACTATGGATACCACTTCTCTTTCTAAATTTTTCAAACCAGCCCCTGCTTGCCTTAAACTCTTTCTTATCTGCATCACTCGTTGCAGGGGTATTCTTTAGAAGGTCTTCGTGCAACACCCTGGCTTTCTCACAAATAATGGCCTCCGAAACACTATCACCCCTCAACTCCTTGTCGTGTATCCAAATTAATAACAACTTTTCCACTTCTTCAAGTATTTGTGGTCTTTGTGCCGTTAATGTTCTTACTCCTTTTGCCACTTTAGCACCCATAATCTTATTTTTCTTCTTAAGTATAGTGCATATTGTTGATGTGGCTTTGTTGTACTGCCTACAAAGTTCAACAACACGTGTACCGTTCTCATGCTTCCGAATGATCTCTTGTTTCTCCTCTATTGTCATCCTCACATGAGCTTTCTGGCCTTTATCCTTACCACTGGCTTTCTTGGGACCCATGGTGAGATATATAATAACAAATTGTATAGACAAATCACCAAAAATCCAACAAAACACTGAAAATCCGCGAGAAGAATTGATGTGGGGGTAGTCACTGAGCGCGAGACAATAATAAACTGAGGGGCGGAGGGGCGACGAACGCGCTAGGTCGGCTGTACGCGTATCAACAAACTCGCGTCCAAACTCGCCTCCCGAAGTAACCCTCGCCTTCTGAGACAAATTTTTGGAGTAAATACACCTCGCCTTCCGAAAACCTCGCATACAGGGACAATCGCATTCCGAGGTACCACTGTACGCCACTTGCATGATATAATGTTGCTAATGTTCTATATTATGTCCATGCCTGATGCCATGCTTATTGGCAAAAGTGTTCTGTTACAGATCTCCATGTGAAGAAATGGGCTCACTCAAGGCAGAAATCCTCCCGCACATCATCTCTCGCCAGTTCACCAGGAAGCCCACCAAGCCGCGTAGTGAGAGGAAGCTGGGTTAGTGAGAGGCAGCAAGTTTATTTCCCTTAAAATGGAAAAATGCTACTAGTACTGTATATTGTTTAAGGGACAGCACAAAAAATTTTCATAAATAATAGGCTGAATGTTGCATGTGAAACAGATAAGTCCCACAGGTTAGGGAAGATGTTTTGAAGGTACTTGACAGCTGTTGACTCCTTATCTAGAGCAGTTACATTGTTTCATAAGTCGGCAGCCTTCAGGCACCTTCATGGCATCTTCCCTAAGCTGTCTGGGGAAAAGGTCAGAGCAAAGTTTGAGGGGAATAATAGCCATTTTCTATACTCTGGAGGCATAAGCTGTCAGAAAATAATGCTTCCAGGAATTTTTTTCATTGTTATTGTACCTCGGGTCCCTTGAGGTTACTGTACCTTGAAGTGTTTTCGGGCCTTAGCGTCCCCGCGGCCCGGTCGTTGACCAGGCTTCCAAAAGTTACAAAAGTACAAAAGGTACTTAAAAGTACCGGGTACAAAAGCATTAAAATGCTCAATTATAATTTTTTTGTAAAAATGTATCAAGGTAGATGATAAGTCACAATAATGTGGCTGAAGATATGATGACCAAACCACACATCAGAAAATGAAAAAACAATGATGTTTTGATCCATCCTGGACCATTATGAAGTCGGCGAACACACGAGTTGATAATGGTCTAGGATGGACCGAAACATCACCATTTCTTCATCTTCTGGTGTGTGGTTTGGTCATCGTGTCAAGGCAGCTCTGGATCCAAATATTGTACCTCTGATAACTGGCACTTGACTATATAATTGTGTAACCCACTTTTATTTCTTGCCAGATATTCATGACGTAATAGAAAAGGAAGAATATGATGGTTTGGTGAAGAAGTACAACAGCAGTGTGGAGTTGTCAAGACACCACAATTCTTGCCAGATGGACCCTCGGGTGTGTTACGTCTACCTTCACCAAGGCTGTTGTGTCCGGGCCAACACCCTTAACTCATATTGGCAGCTTAATAGAAAGGTCAGTTGATGAGTCTCTAATGGGGCTTCAAAGGTGTTTCTTGTTTGGCATTGTAAGAATTTAAAAAGGTAAAATACTGATTCAATGTGATGATTTCTGTGGAGAGCCCTATCGGCTCCCTGGAGCTAGCCCACTGATATACAGTAGTGCTATCCTATTTGGGGTGATCAGTCACCGAGTTCTTGTTGCCTACCAGGGACCAGCGCCAGAACCTGGCCCCCCCCCCCCCTCCGAGACTTGCAGGGAGCAATGGCCTATGAACACTTTACATTTAAAGTATATCATACTTGCCATCAACCAGGGAAGGCACCCAGAAAAGTAGGCAAAACAAAACAGACCACTGTGGTTGAAAAATGTGACCTATGTCCTCAAAAGAGCAAAAGAATTCCCCCATAAAGAAAATAATTAAGCAACACTTCAATGAACTAGCCCCTCACTTGTTAGTACCATTCCCTCCTTGCAGGGAAAAAATGTGCCCGGTTACCCCACTTTGTTACCAACACACCCTTCAGTTCTTGACTGATGGTGCTGGCAGTCAGACTTAACCTCAGGGCTCAATTTCTTGTTCTGGGATTTTGAGGCACGAATGCCTCTTTGCCCTGGTACAGCTGCATGCTCAGGTCCCCTCACTCAGGTCCCCAGGCACTGGTCCCTGGTAGGCAAGAAGAACTGTGACTGACAATCCCAAATAGAATAGCACTATATCTGTGGGATGGCTTCAGGGAGCCTCCAGGGCTCACCCAGAAACTGGCGTTTCATTACATTCAACGCTGTTTTGTTTTTTAATGTCAGAGATTACAATTGGTAAATATTTCTGAAGATATTTATTGTTTATAATCATGCTGGTAATTCTTTGCTATTCTGACAGTCAGAACCTTGACAGTCAAGGCACCAATAACCATAGTTGTTGCCCCTATTTCCCAAGTGGCAGCTGCAATTGCTGCTAGTCTCTTCTCACATGCATCAAAATCATTGTACCATAATTCAGAAATTCCTTCCTAGATGCACTCGCTGTTTGAGCAAGTTTATCCAAACTCGGAGTGGAGCATCAAACATCCATCAGCAGATATTCACGAGAGGGCACAGGTGAGTTTGTAAACATTGCTTTGTGTGGAGTAATCTCTTGATACCAATGATATGCCAGATGATGTGTTTGGCTCTTGAATATATTTGCTAATAACTAATCTGCTGTATAATAAAACATTGAATGCTAGACAGTGTGTGTATTCACAAATTCCTCTTACATTTCATTCTCTTGGATGAAAAACAAATGAATAGTTGTTGGGAAAATTACTAATTAATTTTGATAGCCCATATTAGGCAAGTTTTTGTCTAAATTTGATAACTTTGCTATTGAGTTTAATTTGATCTAGTCATTACCATTTTTGTAAAGATGAATATTTTGTAATAGGTTGGGGAGGACTGTTTAATTGGTTCAGGATCTGTCATATGTGAGAAGACCAATGTAACAAGTTCTGTCATTGGCAATCACTGTCGTATTAACCCCTTCGTCCGTCTGCTGAACTGTGTTTTGGGAGACCACATTACCATTGCATCAGGGTAAGTACCAGTCATTTGCTTCTTACATTGGCTTCTGTCTTGTGTGCTGCATTATATGATTCATTTTGTTAGGGGGGACAGGCAGCCTGGGTATATATATATATACACTTTAGGCTTATATAGAGGTACCCCCCTCCCCCCCAGGTCGAACTACTGACCATTCCCTAAGCTGCATCCCCACAAGAGTTGACTAACTCTAGGATACATATTTACCACTGAGTGAACAGAAACATTAGGCAGTAGGAAGCATTCCCACCTGTTTCTGTCCTGCCAGGATTTAGACCTTTGATTCCCAATTGTGAGTAGAGGATGATCCCAAGTGTAGTATTGAGATCCTTAAATATTTATGCACTATCACCCAAACTAGATAGATATTGAACATAAAGTTTACTGTCTTGTGTATGTCGACTTGGCCACTATCATCAGTACCCCTAGAATAAAGTAACCCATTTTGTTTTAAGTTTGTCACTCTACCAAAAATATGATGTAAGTTTATTTAATTTAGTGTTCATTGTTATGCTCTTCTTGCAAATTCTATATAAAGTTTTGTAATCTTTCTGCGAGTTGTTTTTATGTGAAATTTTCTACATGTCATATATGCAGACATTTTGCATTTTAAATATTTGAATCTTCAGAGTAGACTCCTAGTTTTATGCTGTTACACATTCCTTGTTGCACTGTCAAATTGGACGGCATAGTACTTTAACAGGGATCTTGTGGGGAAAATAATACTCATTCCAAGACCAGTAATAGTATGGTGTAGAACAAATTTAAATATTTATAGATATTCATATGTTGAGGTTTTTGAGCCTTAAAGCAAGCGTAAATACTCTTGGCTACTGGTGTGGCACACTTGATCTAGGACACTGTCAATGCCTGGCTGATTGTTCACAGTAGTCAATGGTGATCTCTCACACTTGGATACCTAGAAAGGCAAAATCCTATAGCCTATGATTACTTTACATTTAATCCTTAGACAGGGGCTATGGAGAAATGGTGCCTATGCACAAAAAGATGTATACAAAAAGATGAGTAGTGAAAATATTTGAAAATAATAAACAATGGTGTTGGGGTCTGGGCGATGACATATAACCTAATTGGCACCATATGGGCGAGAGTATAGATTAAAAGAAAGGTGTAAGACATCAGTGTGACACACACACACAATGACGGCAGGCTCCTCCTTGTACACGTAACTATGAAATGATAGCAGGATTTTGTTCATGGGTCAAAGTAAACTCCATCATATCCAAAGAGAGCTATTATATCCATATTTGTATGATACAGTACATGTAAAACCCAGACAATAATTTAAATCGTGATATGACGACAACCGCATTACCCAGATAATCAACATATGATGATAACCGCTGTCTAAGGGTTAAATTTGATCATCTTTGCCACCATCTAGGGAAGGCACCAAGAAAGACAGGCAAATCACAAGACCACTGCATGGTTAAAAAGAAGACCACAGCCCCAAAATTGCCCAAAGAACTCCCCAACAATGAAAACAAACTCAAATTTTGTGATGCTAGAACCCTGCTAGTTCACTCCACCTCTTTCCTCACATGCATGTTTGATGTTACAGTAAGAGAGAGAGACTATACTTCAGGCGAGACCCTCATTATACCTCATTATTATCCAAATGTAACTATCCTAACACAGAACAACGCTGACTTCTCTCACACATTCCGGCAATCAGAGGATGATAAAGACCATTTTTATTTCAGATGTGTGATAGAAAATAGTTTGATTGTTGCTAGTATAGAGAGGAAGTGCACCATCAAAAACTGCATTGTAACCGACCCAAACAAGATCGAGGAATTAAGTAAGTACATGTGCATGTCTTATCCAGGGGCTGGGTACACACTGAATTCATCTGTCTCATGTATTCTTCAGAATCATGTGTTCATCTACCTTAGATATCCTTCTGCCTTGTGTATTCATCTACCTCATGTGTTCATGTGCCTTAGATGGTGGCATATTATACACATGTTACTTCCCAAAAAAATATTTTCCTTTGAACAAACTAATATGTTCATCTTTCCTTAACTTTTGGAACATATTCTTAATCTAGCAGATGGGTGAATACCAGACATTGACTTCTGTTCTATATACAGTATTTAGGTTAAACGATTTTTAAGAACAATGTCAATTTTAATGTAAGAACCAATGCATACTCGTTATTTCTTTATGGAAAGTAGATACTGTAAAAGCTATTTTTTTATTTGCATGGTATTTGTTCAATACAGTACTGTATATTTTATATTGTATCAGGGACAGTTGAGTTTAAAATATATCATTACAGTTAAGCTGTTAATTAGGGCATTTGATTACATAAACTTTGCATCCTGTTTCATCAGTGGGTTGGTTTTGATCTGATTTGTATATTGTAGGTGGGGCCAAAGCAGTATCTCTGTTTCATTATCACAATGACATTCTTTCCACAGAGACCTACACGAATGAAATTTTGGAAACGACGCAAGATTTTGCATAGTAACAGATCGACACACTGACAGTCTCTCAGTCGGCCTCGCTGTGAAGCTTCCTTTTACCTACTCCCAGGCAGGTTATCCTTTGTGTTGTATATTTTCATACCACATCTGCTCGCCTCACCACATGGAGTCGTTGGAACAGCAGAGATCTCGCTTCTTGTGATATCCCCGATGGTCCAAATGGTTGGGCACCATTCCTTCCCTCCTTCTTATCCCAGCTCCTTGTCTTCGTCTCTCTTCCAAGTGCTGTATAGTTGGACTGGCTTGGCACTTTATCCCTCTCTCTATGAGTATTATTTTTGAGTTTACAATTGTTAAGGAAGCTTGGACATTAATTTACACATGTTCTTCAATGTGTAGATTTGTGCAGTGAGAGTAAACTGTGTGTAATATTAAGGAACAAAAATAAAGTTCTTCAAGACATACCATGTCTATTGGTTTATATCTCCTAAATACTTGCAAGTTTCCCCACCCCTTGAAAATGAGGTAATGAAAATGTGCTCTCTGGAAATGAGATGAGAGAGATGAGCTGATTTGTATACTGTAAGTAAAACCAAAGCAGTATCTCTGAGACATTATCACAATGACATTCTTTCCACAGAGACCTACACAAATTTTAATTGAATTTTGTTTACATCTGAACAAAATATCCTATAAAAAGACTTGTTTCTTAGTGTCTACCTTTCTGTTACACTTCCTAACATACACATCCTTGTTGGTTAAATTTCAATATCCATTTGTGCTGTTAAATGGCAATAGTTTAAGGCTCATTTTCATAAAGTCCAGTGAATGGCATCTGTGGAGTGGGCTGGAGCCAGTTATTTGGATCCCAGGTTGTATTGTGACGTTCGATGACATGAAAGGTATAAATGTGGCGGGATTTTGGGGAGGTATTCTTCTCACTCTTGTGATCCACTTGGCCATCAATGAGCACCAGCGTACCTGAGTAGATAAATCAACAGTTCAGTTATGAGGTTTTGTGTGTCATTCGTGCATTATGTAAATACTAAATGTTCACCTGTAGTGCAGTTTCCAGCATAGATCAAAGCAACCATTGAAATATTTATTGTATATTCTATTCTCTTTTCACTTTTGCGTTGTGCTAATTTGATATAACTAAGTAATATATTTTGTCATTTATATGTGCATATATTTTTGGATTACAGCAATAATAAATTCCAAAATACAATTTTTTCCTTGTAATACTTTACTGTACAATTTAAAATTATCCCATTACATGTATTAGTATCTGGAACATTTTGTATCTGCATATATGCTAAATAAATTTTTTCCAACACTTGCGTAACTACATACAGACCTACGTAATTTCTTTCATGAACACCATCACCAGCAAGCAGTGTATTGCAAGAGTTGAGTCACAATAACATGGCTAAAGTAAGTTGACCAGACCACACACTAGAAGGTGAAGGGGCGACGACGTTTCGGTCCGTCCTGGACCATTCCCAAGTCGATTGTGTCCTGGACCATTCTCACAATCGACTTGAGAATGGTCCAGGACGGACCGAAACATCGTCGTCCCTTCACCTTCTAGTGTGTGGTCTGGTCAAGCAGTGTATTCTTCAAATACACAGTACTCTTCAACTAGTTTCTTTGTTTAGAAATTGATTGTATGTAGTTTAAGTGTATGGCTGGAAGTATAAAATGTTTGTCAAGATGACTTACCTTACTGGCACCAATTGTGGCACCCAATTAACAGGTGATGCATAGTAATGGTACAATTGTTGATTGTTTTATGTTATGTCGCATTACAACCATATGGAGTTGTAGAATGCATATGAACACCATTGGTATACGTATCATGTAATTATGTAGGAATTTTATACAATGACCACATTTCCCTAGTAACATTCATGATAACTATATTCACCTAGTAATGTAACCATGACTTGATAACAGGATTTTTGTTCATGGGCTAAGGGAAAGTCCATTATATCCACAAAGAGCTATTATATCCTTATTTGGATCATACGTGTAAAACTCGGATGATAATAGTTTAAATCCTCATATGACAACCCATCCATGTGTTTAGATAGTACTTTTTGCAACTATGTGCACCACTGTACATACCGAGACATAATTGACAATTAGACAGTAGAATTTGGTACTATTCACTGTATAGTCTCAGAAAAATAAAGCTAAAAACCAAACTTAAATATTCCTAGGCCTAGTATAGCACATATATATGTACTATATTAGGCCTTAGATAGTGTGTATTATGCCTAATACAGTTTATACTGTAATGTATTTCAGCTATTGAAATACATTACAGTTTTTCAATAGCAATGTTAAAATTTCTTACAATGGTAATTTGTAAAAGGAGTCATCCTATACCCCATGAACAGCTAAGAAATGAAGTACCAGCGTTTGTATCCTCAGTAAATCGTGGTGTCGTAATGAAGTGTTTTAGATATTTGTGATTCTCACATCTCTTGAACTGGTTTGCATGGTGTAAAGTACGGCACATTTGTGTGTAAAGAACATACAATTAAATGCAGAACAGACCTTTTGGGACAGGGATGGGGATGTACTTGGTGGGGTCATCAGGGTCAGGAGGAGCAGTGAAGCAGGTCAGATCGCCCGTCTTGTCAGGGTTTCGGATAAACCTTTGGAGAAAATTAAAATGGCTTAATTAATTAAGGGTACTCTTCCCTGATGCATTTAGGCAACTCAACAGCACGACTTAACACACTTGCATCCAAGAGTATGCATGCATATTACTAATGAAGTCATGTGTGCATGCACATGTACACATAGACCACACACAACTTATAAATTGTGAGGAAAGGAATTAAAGAACTTGAATAAAGAATTAGATCAAGGGGAGGTTGGGGATAGTAAACTGTCACCAGAGGAGCACACAAAGAACGGTATGCGACGAGCGTATGTGATGCTTTCTAACTTCACTCACTTTAAATTATATGAATAGTGAAATATTAAAGAAACTGTTCATGGCTTTTGAGACACTAAAATTAGAATATGTACAGTTGTATGGTGCCCAAATCTCAAGAAGCATATGAACTGGAAAAGGTGCAAAGGCATGCACAAATTGGCTTCCGGAACTGAAAAACAAGAGTTACAAGGAGAGACTAGAGGTGTTCATCATGCCAAAACTAGAAGGTAGAAGAGAGGTGATATGATCATCACTTCCAAAATACTAACGGAAATCTACCAAATTGACAGGAGATCCTGAAACCAGCAACTTCAAGAATAAGAGGACACAGTTTCAAGCTAAGGAAACAAAGGTGCCAAAAAATATTAGACAGTTTTCATTTGCATATAGTGGTTGGACCAAGTTCAGCGAGGTGGTGGTGGAGGTCAAAACCGTCAGTAGTTTCAAAGCGTTGTATGACAAAAAGTGCTGGGAAGACGGGACACCACTAGCATGGCTCTCATCCTGTAACTACACTTGGATAATTACACACACACACACACACACATAATAACAGACAGTATGGTTTTCAAACAGGAAGATAATGTGTAACAAATTTTAGTGTTTATGATAGAGCCACATAGATTCTACAGGAAAGGGATGGTTTTTGTTGATTGTGCCTATCTGGACCTAAGAAAAATAAAAGCTTCAAAAGGTTCAAAGTGTTATGACAAAGAGTGCTGGGAAGATGGGACACCACAAGCGTAGCTCTCAAACTGTAACTACAATTTGGTAATTTCTCTCTCCCTCCCTCTCTCTCTCTCTCTGACTTGCTTCTTGCAGATTGGCATTCAATCCCTGACCGTCCAAGTGATTGGGCACCATTCTTTTTTCCTTCCTGTCACAAATCCTTTTTCCTGATCCCTTCCAAGTTGAAATGGCATAATATAGTTATGTTGGCTTGGAATTTTCTCCTGATACGTCCTTTCCCTCCTGAATTCAAGACTGAATGACCCCGAGTGTTGTTGAAGCTTGGACTGACCTGCGGGTGGTGGGGCACTTGTGGGATCCCGGACTGAACCAAAGGCAGCCATTCTCTAAGGTAACATCCTCCAGAGCAAACCAGAATCCTATACAGCTCTGTGGCTCCGTTGACAGGAAGGTGCTGTCCTTGTGAGGTGTGACTGGAGACACAAATGTGCACTTCATTATTAAACAATCACACTGATCACTTTTTTTATTGATTATTAGAATTAACAGGGTTTTAGTGCACATTAACTGCAGTTATTATCAAGGAATGTATATAAATACTTATTTGTTATCAATCTTAACATAACTAGACTTTAATAATCCTCTGTATTACTGGTTGCCAAATGCACCCCCCCCCCCCTCATGTTGTCTGAATTATTCATCCCTGTGGAGAAACACTGTTGTCAACATTAAGCCTAAAATGTGACATGTAAAGTAGCAAAGATAGGTTGGTATCCTATGGTCAAATTTAAATGAGTTTTCCCCAAATCCCTGATGTTCCAAAATATCATCCATAAATATTTTGTAACCATTCACATACCTTTTTGAATCTCAAACTTTGTGGTATAGTTCTTTTACATCTGATCTAAACTCCATCACCCATTGTGACACTCAGAATTTTAGTAAAGCACTAGATTTTTATCAATTATATTAAAGTAAACTGTGGTTGACTAACAACTTAATTCCAAGAACACTATTTTGAACTTCATTCCTCCATTAATATTGTGGGCCACATCTGACCTGTGTTGGAAGCCTTGGGTATTCTCTTTAGGGTCAAATCTTGTTTCACTTTACATGTTACTTAAACTTTAAAAGTCTTGTTCACTCATACCTGGAAATACAGATCACAGCTGATGAAATCCCCCCCTTTAATTTTGTTATGAAAATTGAAGGAAAACTGGTTACGTGACTATATTGTTTAACCCTCATATTCAAGATTGAACCATTGGTCTTCCTCTGCCATTTTTTTTTTTTTAAATTCCTCATCGATGCTGTGGAATGGACGGCCATTGTACATTTTTCCTGCCACTTTAGATCTTCAACCTTTAAAGTACTGTTTCTGGATACGTTTTTTTATTTCCAGTTAATTTGTTAGTCTTTTCCCAGTCATTTGCTCTTGTGTTAAGCAATTGTTTAAATTTAATATATCTAGAAAACAAAAGTGTAGATACAGTACTGTGTATCAAATCCATATACAGAGCAACTTCAGAAATCCAGCTACTGTAATATCATTTTAGACCTAGTCTGGATTTGCTCGAAATTGACTTCTCCAAATTTTCCCTTGACGTATCATGCTATTGTGATTTCTGTGTGTGTATTGAAGTAAGGGCAAAGAGGTAGAACAGCTTGTTGACAGAGCCCGGGTACACGGGAGAATTGTGTAAAACCCTGGTTTGTGTCTCGGAGAGGCTGCAGGATCCATGTGAGGGCAGTAGCACTCCCGGTTGCAATTCTTTTGACCATGTCATGGCGCAATCGACTAAGACGCGTCTGGGATTATCTCGGACGTAGGTGCGAACCCTCATCATGGCCTTTGTGGATTTGTACAATATTATTAATGCTTTTAGCAGAAGCAACCTTAATTTATATTGTGTACCTGAAACGGCCTTCCATTTATCAGAACCCTTGATACAACACTTCAAGTAATGCAAAATTTGCCTTACCCTCTCCCCCAATGCCTGGCTGTTTGAAGATATACATTGATTGAACAACAGCCGGAGACACAAAGCCAAGTTGCCTGGCAACTCTCTTCATCTTGGTTGAGAAGGATACTTTCTTGAACTCTGGTACCAGCCAGTGGAGGGCATGGCCTATCTTGTTGAGGGCCAAATGTTTGTCCACCTACAGCAGCAGATTAGCATATTAAATGCTTGGACATAGTCACAAACTTGTTCAATAAGCACTTTAAACAGACACAAAAGCAAATATACACATTAAAAATGCACTTGAAAGAAGACTATACCAATAGAAATATGCATGAAATAAAAACATATACTGTATATTATTAATACAAAGTTGCAAAGAACAAAACAAAAAACCAATTCATTAAATAACATTTTTAAAAAATGTTAACAAATAGACAAATAAAAATGCTCTACTTTAATAAAAAATAAAAAAAATCAAGAAAGTGTGCATTTTCAACTTCAATTTTCAGTAATGATTGAATGCCTCACATTGTGTAAAGGGGGTTACTTTCCATATACAATACTTAAATCAAACTCCTGTTTTTTTAATGCAGGAAAGCAATTATCAATGTACAGGAAAACTATATAAAAAGAATTACGGAGGAAACTATGCATAATGTGTTTACTTTCAGTTTCGAGTTGTCCAGTGCTCCTTGTTCAAAGAAGAAATGCACCTTGTCACCACTTTCAAGGAAGTAGGAGCTACGGGACTGTGGAGGAAGAGACACCATATAAACATTAGTTAAGAGTACAGTACGCAAATTTCTGCCAAGAGCATACTTGATTAAGTCAAGAGCATAACCAAGGGCATACTTGGTTGTGGTCGGTGGTGGAGAAGATGGTTGGGGTATGTAGGGCAGGGTCCATGTCATCCACCAGACGGCTGCAAGCTGCCCGTAGACTGTCAGCTTCCTCCTCTGTCAAGAACCCCGGCACACACACACATCCATCTCTCCTGTACTGTTGAGAGAAGGCTGGTAAGAAGGAGAAAAGGGGTGTATGGGAGAATTAGAGGATGCTCACCTGTGCATGCATGAATGTATGTGCAATTAGTGTCTGGGAAACGAGAAGTAACTTACCTGAGCGAGCAGCTCAGGGGAGAGCGGGTCAGTCATGATGGCCTCTTGTTCTGCACACTGGGCTAAGCTGGGGGGCTCACTTGCCCCCTCTCTTTCCTCTCTATAGTACTATATTTTTCTTTTCCTCTCCTCTTGTCTCCTCCTCCTTCTCTAGCAGCAAGAGTAACAACCTGCAACACAAGTAATCTATAGAACATTTATCTATCTCATCCTCATCCATGTACTATACCGAACCAGGAGGCTTAGTCGAGGACCGGGCCACGGGAACGTTGAGCTCCGAAATCATTGCCAGGTAACTCTGTCCAAGAGACAGAGAGAGAATCGAGACACTTTATAATATGCACCTTCATAAAATACATCTAGAACATTTGTGGTGTCCTTAATTGTGTTTATAAAAAAAATCCAAATGTTTGTTATGGAACATTAAACAATTTATAGTAATATAACAAAGACTTACTTTAAATTGGCATTGTCCCCACCTTTATTGACTAACATTAAATGTTACGATATTATGATAAGAACGCACTAATTGTATAGAACATTCAAACCTGTATTCTATAGATCCAGACCCGATCCGGATTCACAAATAATCCAAATTTCCGGATATATAGTACTCTATTACTATTTGTGACTCAAACGTTTTGGAGTTTTTTTTTATAGGTAACGATAGAACACACCTCTGCACATATTTCAGCACGTGACTAATATATAACCAATAATTTGATTATATAACAATACAGTACTATACAATATTTGCAAACATGCAGAATTGTCTGCAGTGACTTACTGGAAGGTGTCGGAAAGTGTCATTGTGCCAACATAAAAATCATCCCACAATATCTCCAGGACCATACCCTCTACAATATCTCTAGGACCATACCCTCTACAATATCTCCAGGACCATACCCTCTACAATATCTCCAGGACCATACCCTCTACAATATCTCCAGGACCATACCCTCTACAATATCTCCAGGACCATACCCTCTACAATATCTTGAGGACCATACCCTCTACAATATCTCCAGGACCATACCCTCTACAATATCTCCCGGATCATACCCTCTACAATATCTCCAGGATCATACCCTCTACAATATCTCCAGGACCATACCCTCTACAATATCTCCAGGACCATACCCTCTACAATATCTTGAGGACCATACCCTCTACAATATCTCCAGGACCATACCCTCTACAATATCTTGAGGACCATACCCTCTACAATATCTCCAGGGCCATACCCTCTACAATATCTCCAGGACCATACCCTCTACAATATCTCCAGGACCATACCCTCTACAATATCTCCAGGACCATACCCTCTACAATATCTCCAGGACCATACCCTCTACAATATCTCCAGGACCATACCCTCTACAATATCTCCAGGACCATACCCTCTACAATATCTCCAGGACCATACCCTCTACAATATCTCCAGGACCATACCCTCTACAATATCTCCAGGACCATACCCTCTACAATATCTCCAGGACCATACCCTCTACAATATCTCCAGGACCATACCCTCTACAATATCTCCAGGACCATACCCTCTACAATATCTACAGGACCATACCCTCTACAATATCTCCAGGACCATACCCTCTACAATATCTCCAGGACCATACCCTCTACAATATCTCCAGGACCATACCCTCTACAATATCTCCAGGACCATACCCTCTACAATATCTCCAGGACCATACCCTCTACAATATCTCCAGGACCATACCCTCTACAATATCTCCAGGACCATACCCTCTACAATATCTCCAGGACCATACCCTCTACAATATCTCCAGGACCATACCCTCTACAATATCTCCAGGACCATACCCTCTACAATATCTCCAGGACCATACCCTCTACAATATCTCCAGGACCATACCCTCTACAATATCTCCAGGACCATACCCTCTACAATATCTCCAGGACCATACCCTCTACAATATCTCCAGGACCATACCCTCTACAATATCTCCAGGACCATACCCTCTACAATATCTCCAGGACCATACCCTCTACAATATCTCCAGGACCATACCTCTACAATATCTCCAGGACCATACCCTCTACAATATCTCCAGGACCATACCCTCTACAATATCTCCAGGACCATACCCTCTACAATATCTCCAGGACCATACCCTCTACAATATCTCCAGGACCATACCCTCTACAATATCTCCAGGACCATACCCTCTACAATATCTCCAGGACCATACCCTCTACAATATCTCCAGGATCATACCCTCTACAATATCTCCAGGACCATACCCTCTACAATATCTCCAGGACCATACCCTCTACAATATCTCCAGGACCATACCCTCTACAATATCTCCAGGACCATACCCTCTACAATATCTCCAGGACCATACCCTCTACAATATCTCCAGGACCATACCCTCTACAATATCTCCAGGACCATACCCTCTACAATATCTCCAGGACCATACCCTCTACAATATCTCCAGGACCATACCCTCTACAATATCTCCAGGACCATACCCTCTACAATATCTTGAGGACCATACCCTCTACAATATCTCCAGGACCATACCCTCTACAATATCTCCAGGACCATACCCTCTACAATATCTCCAGGACCATACCCTCTACAATATCTCCCGGATCATACCCTCTACAATATCTCCAGGATCATACCCTCTACAATATCTCCAGGACCATACCCTCTACAATATCTCCAGGACCATACCCTCTACAATATCTCCAGGACCATACCCTCTATAATATCTCCAGGACCATACCCTCTACAATATCTCCAGGACCATACCCTCTACAATATCTCCCGGACCATACCCTCTACAATATCTCCCGGATCATACCCTCTACAATATCTCCAGGATCATACCCTCTACAATATCTCCAGGACCATACCCTCTACAATATCTCCAGGACCATACCCTCTACAATATCTCCAGGACCATACCCTCTACAATATCTCCAGGACCATACCCTCTACAATATCTCCAGGACCATGACCTCTACAATATCTCCAGGACCATACCCTCTACAATATCTCCAGGACCATACCCTCTACAATATCTCCAGGACCATACCCTCTACAATATCTCCAGGACCATACCCTCTACAATATCTCCAGGACCATGACCTCTACAATATCTCCAGGACCATGACCTCTACAATATCTCCAGGACCATACCCTCTACAATATCTCCAGGACCATACCCTCTACAATATCTCCAGGACCATACCCTCTACAATATCTTCAGGACCATACCCTCTACAATATCTCCAGGACCATACCCTCTACAATATCTCCAGGACCATGACCTCTACAATATCTCCAGGACCATGACCTCTACAATATCTCCAGGACCATGACCTCTACAATATCTCCAAGACCATACCCTCTACAATATCTCCAAGACCATACCCTTTACAATATCTCCAAGACCATACCCTCTACAATATCTCCAAGACCATACCCTCTACAATATCTCCAGGACCATATCCTCTACAATATCTCCAGGACCATACCTCTACAATATTACCCTGCTCACGCTGCTCCATTCAGAGCAGTGAGTATCAGGGCTCGACGAATATAAGCATTGAGAACTATGTCTTCGGAGAGACTCCCTTCTACCATTCGGGCATAATCCTGTATGTAGGCTTGGTATATATAGATGCTTCTGTGTGTGTTATTAACACATACGAATATGTCTAAGATATATTCGTAACTGTAAAAGACCTAAACACACTAATGGGTCTACGAAGTCTCCTAGAAAGAGTCAGGACTCTGATTCACCATCTGTCTTTCCAGGATGTTTTAATAACAAAAATAGAAGCATCTCTAAGTTCCGGGGTATATACACCAAGCCTACAAACATAGGGTTATATACAGTGCCTGAACCCATTATGGCACAGTGAATAATTTCGCCCCTCATTGACAGGTATATATGGGGGGTACATGATAAACCAATTCATCTAACTAAATTCATCTTGTGTGATGTCTAACTAAAGCTCACTCGGTGGTACGTTAAGGTCTGCCCTTGAGTGAACCCGATGATGTTAGCTTCATAAACTGTGATATAATACTGTTGATGTTTTCGTAAACAAACTTCAGTTTAATTTGGCTAAGAATTTTGGGGTTCAGTTCCTTAGCCCATTTATATGTGCGTCTGTAACCCTTCCCACTACCGCTCACAGGATGGGTATGGCGCGCATAATAAGTGAAATTAACTAGAAAAACAACTAAGTTACAAATCCTGTGACTTGGGTTCAAATATATCATGCCATATCTCTATTGGCTAGTGGCTGTGGGCGTGAGCCAGCACTTCCCTCCCTATTGGCTGCGACTGAGGGGGATGGAGGGCATGACAACCAATCATCGTGCATGATGGTTGGCAAGGTCTAACTGCCATAACCGTCCTTGTGTTGTTTGTTGTTTTTGTCCAGTAGAGAGCAGTGACTGTCTCGGGAGCCATGCCCAGGGTCACGTATGTCCTTCACGTGTGGCCGCTACCGCTATATTTAGCACAATCCAGTTACTTCCCGTAAACAATGCTACTACGAGACTGTGATCTTTTGTTGAATTATCTGCATGTCTCTTGCAAATTGTCTATACAGTATACCTAGGTCATAAAAGTATTTGTGTGTACGTCTGATACCATACTACTTGTGTAAAGGAGGAAATCTATATATTTATCTCTCAGAATGTTTGGTAATATGTTTATTGTTTGTGATGTGTGTCTATGTATGTATTAACACGATATGTACTGAACGGGGTGAGGGTAGCTTGAGCTACCTCATCCCTTTGTGTGTATTTTACCTCAATAAACTTATTTCAATTTCAATGCTACCGTACTGCCCAATCGGACACGTACGAACCCAAGAAAACGTCAGTAATACGGTGCTTTCATTGTGTCTCATACGTAGCATTTTCAGCGGGTTTTGATGATTACTTTTTATTTGTTGATTTGTTTCCCCCCCCCCCCCACAGGAGGAGCATATTGAGCAGCGGCTGGTGGAAGGTCGCACACGGACCGTCAACCTGGTAGTGCAGTCGGGTTCCCAATCAACTCTCAATCCAGAATTCCGGTTGACCAGACCACACACTAGAAGGTGAAGGGACGACGACGTTTCGGTCCGTCCTGGACCATTTTTAAGTCGATTGTCTTGATTCCGGGTTCGAATGCCGGGTGGGGCAGAAATAATTAGGCACGTTTCCCATCACCTAATGCTCCTGTTCTCCTAGCAGTAAATAGGTACCCGGGAGTTAGACAACTGTTGTGGGGGGTTGTATCCTGGGGAGGGTCAGTAGTTCCACCTTGTGAGGGACCTGGATTCTAGTCTAACATGTATATGTTCACAGGCTGTCTGTCCCCCCAAAGTCGGTGAATTATAAAGCTTGCACCAGCACCACCATGAGGAGGAAGGGAATTACCAGGGAAAAGCACCAAGCCATTAGGACTATATAGCACTTGGAAGGGGTCAGGATGTGGGATGGGACGAGGGGAAGGAATGGTGTCCAACAACTTGGACGGTCGGGGATTGAACCTCGACTTGCATGCAGCGAGACCGTCGCTCTACCATCCAGTTCTACACTATGTTGACAAACTTCCCGGCTTGCTGCCTTTAATTACTTGATACAAAGTTTTAATTTGTATTTTTTTAAAGATTAGGCCATGAATATTGCAAATTTGATGTATAAGTTAATGGAAATGTCTTACGCGTAGTCACTTCAGAATGGTAGTGGACCCCATACCCATTCTTGTGAGTCCTCATGGTGGTAGTGGACCCCATACCCATTCTTGTGAGTCCTCATGGTGGTAGTGGACCCCATACCCATTCTTGTGAGTCCTCATGGTGGTAGTGGACCCCATACCCATTCTTGTGAGTCCTCATGGTGGTAGTGGACCCCATACCCATTCTTGTGAGTCCTCATGGTGGTAGTGGACCCCATACCCATTCTTGTGAGTCCTCATGGTGGTAGTGGACCCCATACCCATTCTTGTGAGTCCTCATGGTGGTAGTGGACCCCATACCCTTTCTTGTGAGTCCTCATGGTGGTAGTGGACCCCATACCCATTCTTGTGAGTCCTCATGGTGGTAGTGGACCCCATACCCTTTCTTGTGAGTCCTCATGGTGGTAGTGGACCCCATACCCATTCCTGTGAGTCCTCATGGTGGTAGTGGACCCCATACCCATTCCTGTGAGTCCTCATGGTGGTAGTGGACCCCATACCCATTCCTGTGAGTCCCCATACATTCCTGGTGGTAGTGGACCCCATACCCATTCCTGTGTCCTCATGTCCTCATGGTCCTCATGGTAGTGGACCCCATACCCATTCCTGTGAGTCCTCATGGTGGTAGTGGACCCCATACCCATTCCTGTGAGTCCTCATGGTGGTAGTGGACCCCATACCCATTCCTGTGAGTCCTCATGGTGGTAGTGGACCCCATACCCATTCCTGTGAGTCCTCATGGTGGTAGTGGACCCCATACCCATTCCTGTAAGTCCTCATGGTGGTAGTGGACCCCATACCCATTCCTGTGAGTCCTCATGGTGGTAGTGGACCCCATACCCATTCCTGTAAGTCCTCATGGTGGTAGTGGACCCCATACCCATTCCTGTGAGTCCTCATGGTGGTAGTGGACCCCATACCCATTCCTGTGAGTCCTCATGGTGGTAGTGGACCCCATACCCATTCCTGTGAGTCCTCATGGTGGTAGTGGACCCCATACCCATTCCTGTGAGTCCTCATGGTGGTAGTGGACCCCATACCCATTCCTGTGAGTCCTCATGGTGGTAGTGGACCCCATACCCATTCCTGTGAGGTGGTAAATACTTATCTTGACCCCTTCCCAGTGCTTTATAGTCGTAATGGCTTGGCGCTTTTCCCCTGATAGTTCCCTTACCTTACCTGATATGCAAACCACACATATATTATCCTAAGTGTATCTACAGGGAGCGAGATCTAGTTCTAGGGCCCCGCCTCATAGGCTGTGTCTGATGTTTTTACACTTGGTGATGTTCTAATGGTCTGTCTTGCTTGGTTTTGAAGCTGTGATCGAGGTGGCTTTTACGACTTCTGCTTTCTCCTGACATTAGTACTTAGCACAGGTGGTAAGCCGAGTATGTGCTCACCTGTGCTGAGTACAATTGTGTGCTCACGTCCCCTGAGTACAAGTGAGTACTTACGTGTGCCGAGTAGGTGGTGACCTTCACTGAATGAGTGCGTGTGGTGAGCTGCACAGAGTACAAGTGTGAGGCTATCTGGTCATGCCCGGGGTATCAGTCTGGCGACACCCCCCACCCCCCCTAACACATGCCTCGTCACATGTTATACAACTGTGGGTGGAGCTGGGCTCTTGTCTCCCGCCTCCTCCCGCTCCTCTCCACTTCTCCAACGCGGAAGAAACAAATCCTCTGCCGTCGAAAAATACTTTCTTTGTAATTTCTTCTGGGAATTCGAGGGCGGCAAAGAGGGACCTTTGCCTCCCTCATCTCATCACAGTCGACTTGAGAATGGTCCAGGACGGACCGAAACGTCGTCGTCCCTTCACCTTCTAGTGTGTGGTCTACGTGCCTAACCATTTCTTTCCCGCTCGGGGCTCAAACTCGGGAATCCCGATTGTGTGTGGAGGACGTAGACCACTATGCTACATGACCCATTTAGGTTGCACTAAAGTATTCCTTTTGTCAGTGTTGCGCATGTCGGCCATATTGTCATACTCGAACAAATCCACAAGACCCGTGACGAGGATTCGAACCTACGCCTGTGAGCATTGTGATACTCGCCTTCACATCCGGGGCTAGACCTGACCTGACCTTCGCCCCGGGGGGACGTTTTCCCTTTACTGTGATAACTTTCCCCCTTCAGGCTGTGTTTGTCTTGTGTAGGTGAGTGTGTGACGCAACAAGCGGTACACAGCTCCTTATGTCGTCTCCGTTATGATGTCTTTCACCATGACCCTCTTGTTTTCTGCCAGTCAGGCACTCTCGTTCTGAACATTCCCACCAACCCAGCCTGTTTTTCTGTATGTCTTTTGTAGTGGAGGTTTACATATATACATGTGTGAATGCATGCATGTATAAAAGTCAACAAATACACCACCACTGTCAACAAAAGACACTACCGACATCATCAACAAACACAACACCACCAAATGCAAAACAGTTACAATTTTTACGGAGTTGCAAATGTAGACAACTGGTGAGAGGTGAGTGAGGGTGAGTGAGAGCAAACGGAAGAGAATAAGAGCTGCGTCAGGCAGCAGGGGACTTGGAGCACGCCTTGCGTCACCCCATCACGCCTTGAGTCACCCAGTACGCACGCGCGTCACACGCCTTGCGTCACCTGGATGACGTCATAAACGGCGGGAACTTTCACCCAGCGGCAGGTGTCCCGGGGGTCTCCTTCTTGTCCTACTTCTCCCCTTCCTTCCCTCTTCCTCTCTTTATTCTCACCCCTCCCTCCGTCTCTCACTGCTGCTCCTCGCATCCCTTTGGAAACATCCGCCGCCTTCCTTTCCCATCATTCCATCCCATCATAGATTTGAGAGGGAAGAGGGGAGGGGGAATAATGTATCTCCAACACACTCTGGAGACACAGTGTGTCAGGATAACATCAGCGGCGTGTGCAATGCTGGCAGACTTGGATCCACTTGCTCACCTCTGAAGTATATAGTCCCCGGGTGGGGTGGTGGGGGGGGGGGGGGGTCGCTGTCCAATTAAAATCACATAAAATCAAAACAAGAGAAAGTTGAGAGGTGAACCACAAGACTGGTTCCTGGTCTTTGATATTCTGCACCACTCACCTTCCTGTACTGGGAAAGCTCAGCTATACATAGATAGGCAACACCTCTCTTGGGCCCAAAAAAAAGGAAGGACGGGAAGAGACATGACCACGACATAATAATCCTAGAGACATTGGCAAAGTGGACAGTAAATATTTTGAATTAAATGCATAATTAAATGTGTTAAAATGAATTAAATGCTTCTTCAAGAGGAAACTAGATTTATTCCTCCAAGGAGTGCCGGACCAACCGGGCTGTGATGGGTATGTGGGCCTGCGGGCCGCTCCAAGCAACAGCCTGATGGACCAAACCCTCACAAGTCAAGCCTGGCCTGAGGCCAGGCTTGGGGAGTAGAACAACTCCCAGAACCCCCATCAACCAGGAATCAACCAGGAATCAACCAGGCATCTAGGAGAGAGAGGACATGGGTTAAGTTAAGAGAGAGAGGCAGAGGGCGCCAAGCTACAGACCAATATACCAGTGACAGGTCCACGTCACAAGGGGTTCAACACACACGTCAACAACTACACCAGTGGACCAGGAAGACAATAGTAAACAACATACCCAAGAGACAACTGGCCTTCAACACAGGCGGATTACACAAAGTAACGTTATATACCAGTGAGAAAATCCACACCTGCCCTGACGAGGATTCGAATCTGTGCACTGGGTTTTCCCTGACGCACGCTCTAGACCACTACGTCACCACATGGTCAAAAGAATTGTAACCTGGAGTTCTGCTCAACCCACGAGGATTCCACTGAAGCCGAACCAGGACTTCACACAATTTCCCCGACGCACTCTGGCTCTGTTCGCAGGTACCAACCACTTGGGGTGGACGGTAGAGCGACGGTCTCGCTTCATGCAAATCCGCATTCAGTCCCCGACCGTCCAAGTGGTTGGGCACCATTCCTTCCCCCCCCACATCCCTATCCTGATCCCTTCCAAGTGCTATATAGCCGTTATGACTTGGCACTTTCTCCTGACAGTTCTCCCGATGTTCAATGCGGTCTTCAGACTGCCTCGGAAAGACTGGAGCAAACTGCACCAATAGTCTGAGGGATGGATACGTGACTTCAACCATTGTACGTGTAAGGTAAGGAGGTTGGGGGGACGGGGGCGAGGACATCAAATAATGCCTGCACACAAGAGAAGACAACAACCAGAATAATTAAATTAAATGATCTATTAGACAATATACCAAACCTGTCTCCATACGCACCCATGAACAACATTAGAGTGTTCCTCAGACCTGCCAGTGCTGAGGGGACCGACACACAAGTACGCCGCCCCACTGGAGCCAAAGTGTACACAAATAAAAGAGCAACAAACACAAGACCAAATGCAGGCGATGAGTCACAATAACGTGGCTAAAGTAAGTTGACCAGACCACACACTAGAAGGTGAAGGGACGACGACGTGTCAGTCCGTCCTGGACCATTCTCATAATCGACTTGAGAATGGTCCAGGACGGACTGAAACGTCGTCGTCCCTTCACCTTCTAGTGTGTGGTCTGGTCAACAAAACACAAGACCAAACTTGAGAGGTAAAAGGTAACGCCACAAAGCGAGTCCCTCAACTGAGAGGAATTAGTTCAAGGAAACACTAGATGAGCTGTGGCTTACATACATAAAAATTAGGAAAGAGAGGACATGATCGAGACATACAGGATTTTAAAGGGCAAAATTAGAAGGGGAACTATTGATCATATACACGAGTGATCGTGGATGGAAACTAGAAGCACTTGAGCTATAATAATGGAGGTAAATATTTATTTAGCGAATAAATTGAATGAATTGGAAGTAGTGGAGATAGTGGAGTGCTATCATACCTACATACCATGTAGGTATGATAGCAACCCGTCCTCGGACCAAGTCCATTCCATCCAGCGGTCGACCCCAAAGACATATTCATCAATTTTAACATTCTGTTCATTCAAAACAGAAATTTGCTCAAATATAAATTAATCTTAAAATATATTAGCATATTGTGCATATACAGTTTAGGCACTGGTTAGGTTAGGTGTTTAGGTTCTGTTGGCACGCACACGCACACGCACACACACACACACACACACACACACACACACACACACACACACACACACACACACACACACACACACACACACACACACACACACACACACACACACACACACACACACACACACACACACACACACACACACACACACACACACACACACACACACACATGGTCAGGGAAATGGCTACTGGAGTTTAACACCAGTAAATGTAAAGTTATGGAAATGGGATCAGGTGACAGGAGACCAAAGGGACAGTACACAATGAAGGGGAACAGCCTACCTGTAACGATTCGAGAAAGAGACCTGGGAGTGGACGTAACACCTAATCTAACTCCTGAGGCACATATAAATAGGATAACGACAGCAGCGTACTCTACACTGGCGAAAATTAGAACTGCATTCAGAAACCTAAATGAGGAAGCTTTTAGGGCGCTTTACACTGCCTACGTGAGACCCGTCTTAGAGTATGCCGCGCCATCATGGAGCCCCCACCTGAAGAAACACATAAAGAAACTGGAGAAGGTTCAGAGGTTTGCGACGAGGCTTGTCCCAGAGTTACGAGGGATGGGATATGAAGAACGGCTGAAGGAACTGAACCTTACGACACTAGAGAAAAGAAGGGAGAGAGGAGATATGATAGGGACATATAAAATACTCAGGGGAATTGACAAAGTGGAAATAGATGAAATGTTCACACGTAATAATAACAGAACGAGGGGACATGGGTGGAAACTGGAAACTCAGATGAGTCACAGAGATGTTAGGAAGTTTTCTTTTAGCGTGAGAGTAGTAGAAAAATGGAATGCACTTGGGGAACAGGTTGTGGAAGCAAATACTATTCATACTTTTAAAACTAGGTATGATAGGGAAATGGGACAGGAGTCATTGCTGTAAACAACCGATAGCTAGAAAGGCGGGATCCAAGAGTCAATGCTCGATCCTGCAAGCACATATAGGTGAGTACATATAGGTAAGTACACACACACACACACACACACACACACACACCCACACACACACCCTACACATACACACTACTTTCCCTTTCTGGTGTGGTAAGGTACGGGGGAAAGAGTGTCAGTTGTATCTGTGGTGGTGAGCTGATGTGGTGGTGGTGTAGTGGTGGTGTGGTGATGGTGATAATGTGGTGATGGTAATGTGGTGATGGTCAGATGATGTAGTGCTTATCTAATACAGTGACAACTGGGGAAGTGTAGTGATGTGGTGGCGGTGTAGTGATGTGGTGGCGGTGTAGTGATGTGGTGGCGTGGGATGATGTATTGAGTGAAGGATAAACCTCACAGTTAAGGGCTCCACGGTAGCACAATAAGGCCACAGTAAACACTGGACTGATATACTGGCACAGTAACCCACCAAACTGTTGACATTTTACTGTGCGCCTTGTACCAACTGTGTTCCGCTCATTTGGCGACAGTGTAGATCCCAGCCGCGTCCCTCTACTGGATAGTTGGGCTACCTTGGTGCGTGTGTGTCTAGTACGGGG